GCTGAATTTGCAACTGTCGTATTGAATGGTCTTACAAGACTCTGTCATCATGAGTTCACGTAGTGCCATATCATCCGTTACAAAAATTTTACATACCGCTTTTTGAATTTGCTGCTGATTAAACGCTTAACAGTCTAATGACCTATAATGCATAATGTACACTAAATCAGAAGAAAATACCAGGCAAATATGCTATGATAATACCAGGAGAGCTTGATGATTACCGTCACTCTAATTATGTATTGTTAGACGGAAAAAGAACGAAGACTGTAATCCGTCGATCTTCATTACGTTTTCATGATGGGCATCATGTCTGGTACGCTCGTTTCGTGGTTTTCATTTCAGTGTCTTTAGTCCAGTATATTTTGTGAAAAAGACATTTGCAAATTAAGGGCAACCTATTTCTTTGTTTTTTCCGTAACATGATGCACATTTCCTCTAATCTCGAAAGGATGAAAAGCAAGTCACTTGAATTCGAACCATCAACTTTTGACTATGAGTTCAGCCCCCTTTTCACTGAACTACCTTAATCTTATTTCTCATACCGTTGTCCGGCTGTTGTTTCCCATACACTGTTAATTTAAATAATTCCAGAAACTTTATAAGAGATGGATTAAAAAACATCTCGAAGTCATGCATACTTTTTATATCCATTTTGATGGAGATATTTTATTCTTGTAATTATTAAGCGTTTATCATAACTCCAATTTTGATTGGATACGTGTGACTTCCCGGTTCAGTTGATTCTTTGTGAATCTGAAGATCTGAAAATTCTCAAGATATTAAGATATTAAATGACGCCGTAGTTCAGTTTGCCCTAATTGGCAAGAATGGAAGTAGGAACAAAGATTACAGGCGAATAATGAGCCAGAACAGTAGCTGTTTATTTAAGAGTTATTTAGATCTTTCTACCTTCTGTTCCTGTTCTCTTTGCACATGGTACTGATCAGCAGACTGGACATTTACGCTGATCTCATTTCCAGAGTAAGCCATTTAGTTGAACTGTCCGAATTACGGGATGATTTCGCGGGCCTCTTGTGATTGTAACGTCTAGCACTGTCTGAATCCAAGATAGTAGGCACGCACAAATCTGCTATTTAGGCAGGAGAAATATTGTTTCCGCCGCGTAAGGCAGATAATAGACTGCACATCCAAATGTCAGAAGGAGGGTGCGTGATCGAGGATTTTTCATTTCATCGAATCGAACCATTGTTTCTGCAGTACATTTCAGAGTAATGAGGCTTGTAGCAAACTTTACATAGCTGATATATAAGCACAATGGCGATATATAATATACTATCCTGAAGTACTAATCGAATGTACTGTTTTAACTTATGCGTGAACTATTTCGTGATTCTGAAACAAGCATAACTGCATCACATTGTACATTGTGGTATCCATAATGTAGGTTAATATATAATACATAGACATTGATTGTGGAAATGAACTTTACTCTCAGCATTATACATTTTTCGTGTTCTCCAGTGGCTGGATTGATGACACTAAAGACCCTATTTATATTGCATAAGACGTGAAGATCGCTTACGCCATAACAGTATCTTTGAACCCTGGCTGGGTTGTTGAATGTGTCATAACTCTGAAATTGTTATAAAGGACATTTCCTGAAACCTAGTACCTATGACGTGAATAGTTTCTTGAGGGATAAATAGAATTAATGCGTTGCAAATGACTCGGACTTTTCTCTTCACATCAGCTATATCTAAAATGATTAAAGAACATAATGAGAGAAAGATCCCAAAATGTGCCAACTTCGCCATTGCCAGTCTCAAGCCCGGTTGAGAAACGAGGAGCCTCGCAAGCCTGCGTAAATTTAGCCACTTGCCACTCATGGAAATGACGCGATCAAAAATTATACCGGCTCGGTCGTCACCCGAGTTACCAAAGGCAGCGCTGGCTGTTGGGAGACTGAGCCAGACAGCGAAAAGTCAGCCATCAGAACCTGCTTTTCGCCCTCTGCCAGCCAGGGACGTAGCAGAAACAAACGGCTAACGAAGACTGACGGAACGATGACGAAGATACCAGTCAGCAACGGAGTCGCTACCCGTTTCAAACGGAAGAGGCAGACAGCGCGATGCCATTATTAGCACGTCAGAAAAGGGTCCACGAGAACCACATCACCAGTGCAAGCTTAAAGTCGAAAATTGGAACATATCCTCACTGAGAGGAAAAGAACATGAATTAGTTGATGAGGCCATGAAGTACCAACTCGACATCGTTGGACTTTTGTCAACAAAACGCCCAGGCTCTGGGCTCCTGAACCTCAATGGATGGAAGCTCTTCTACTCAGGCGTCGATATCACGACTCGCGCTCACGCCGGTGTTGGTGTTCTGGTAGAACCCAACCTCGGCGATAGAGCCTGTCAGCGGAAGTGTGGTAATCATCCGACTAAAGATACAACAGGCTAAAGCGTTGACCTTGGTACAGGTCTATGCGACCAATTTGGAACGACACTATGATACCTTCCTTGAGGAAGTGCAGTGTGCTCTATCCGAAATGCCGAATACAAAGTCTCTCATGGGCGATTTTAATGCACATGTCGAAGTAGACGTTGAAAAGTGTAACGGCGTGATTGGGAAAAACGTCCCTAGCGACCTCAACAATAACGGCATGAAGTTGTTTGCGGTTTTGTGCAAACAACGGATTGTCCATTATGAACACCTTCTTCGAGCATCGAAAAGTGCATCAG